AGCACCACTCGACGTTATGCACTTTCGAAGCACGTGCTCGGTATGTATCGCGAGAAGTGCTGATCTATTACGGTGGTCTCTTAAATTGGAACATTACGAATTGAACGTGGATCACATATGGATGATCGAAGATCTCTTTTTAGTCTACAAATATTTCTAGACTGGGTATCAGCAAATTCCTTTTGAATATCAAATACTAGGATAGTCTTAAAGTATGTAAAGTCTAATACTTATGCAAGAAGTTCCATAAAAGTGCTGTACGAGTCAGTAAGAAAACTACCTATTAATCATTGATTTCAGTATAAAGCTTGAAATGCATTTTAATTTGTCAGAATACAAGGATATAATTATTAGATAATCCTCATTATATAATGGAATCAAACAACATGTTTGCATAAAATCATTACATAAAAACTCAGTATATTTGATATCTCCCTAATCTATCGTTAATAGGATAAAGATCTGATGAAATTTCCATACAGGAAGTGTTATAACTGTCAGAAAGAACTGTTCCTGCAGACGTTCAACATGCCTGTTATGAGCCACTGCTGATCATAAAGTGCCACATGTCGCATGAATAACATTCATGAACATCATTCAGATTACAGCTCTATAGTAACTTATCATTTGATCGTCAGGAAAGAATATTGATTTTCTCTTCTTCTATTTTAATACGGATACGTCATATCACAGGTGACGAAGTAATATAGTTTGAAAGGCATTTCGATCGGAGGAACACGTGCGTGTTTCCCAGCGCAGATACCAAAGGGATAGAGATATTTCGGTCATTATGACACACACACACACACACACACACACACACCGAGAACCGAACGGACATGGGCAATGTCGTTGAGTTTAAGAGACGGCTTGACTTCGCGTTGGCAAAGTTCAAACGGCCGGTTGTTGGTTCCGTCGGACGAAACAAACATAATGAGTACAGTTTCAGTCTGAGTGCACAAAAATAAAGATCAAATGGTCTCACGAAAATGTAACTGAGTTTCAGATTGTAACATTTCAAATGTCTAACACATATTAGCTAACATCTAAATACCTCTTAATTATTAAAATACTGGCATGTAGTTCGATATTTACCGTACTTTACAAATATTTATTTGCATTATAATGTACCTGAAATACGTCTACTTCAAATTTTATTTTGGACAGTATGTATAAAATATGCCGCAAAAACGTCTTATATTCCATTGTACGTAGCAAATAGGTTTACACGTATCGATTCCGGGCATTAACAACGGACACGAATGTGTACGAGAACATGATCATCTGTGAATACAGTTACGTTCGTCGAAATATCAACAATGAATTACACAGTTACATTCGTGGAAATGTCAAACGTGTATCGCACATTGATCGAGACGTACACTTGGAGTTATCGACTCTCCACCGGTTAGCATTGACGTTATCGATTCGGCAGAACTTCCGCCGCTAGCTACGAGTGTAGAGAGAAACATTTGAATGAATTTCACAAGATTAATGCCATTCGACCTGCCACGGATTACAGGGCGGCGAGATTAATGACGATTCTTGTGCTCCAGCGAGGAAACCAACAGAGAAGAGTGAACGCTCGAGTTCGACTAAAGATAGACACCTACATATAGAAACATAGCGGATTTAAAAATCTGTCGAAGTTCTGATGGAATCATGTTTGATCGACAAATAAAATTATTTTTTTACGATATGTCAATAATGACCCGATTTGCGAAACGCGATCCAAGAGATACACCCACGGTACAGACTTGATCGCGTACATCTTGCTTTTCATTCGCGTTGAATATTTCATGGGGAGGAAACATCGAAATCCTTTGATCTCGCGCGTTCCGCTCATCAGGAATTGTAAAGACAGCGATACATATTTTTTTTCTTTAGAAAACACGCGAATCGAACTGGCGAGAATATGCATCTGCAGCAAGTACTGAATTCGAAAAATCGAGTGGCATGTATACATTATGCAACACGTCTGCAAAGAATGGTAACAGAAGGGAAGGTGATCACATTGATATTCCAGCTACATGGACCTATTCCCACTGGTCTGGTAACTTAATTAACATGAACAACGAGAAAGATCGACTATATTTCTTCGTCACAAATTAACACAAAAATATACACGATGTTTACTGGACAATATTATAGTTCTTAACATATGGGATATAGAAAAATGGGCTGCATCTTTTGATGGAAGCAAATATTTGTTGCATTAAGTCTTGTTGTCTCTTCTAAGCAACTTGAAATAGATACGTAGGATCTGTGTTAGAAACGACAGAGCCAAAGAACAATTCTTTTCCGTCTTCACGGAAGAAGTGTCGGAGAAGGAAAAGTATTGCCCTTTGGTTTCTAATATAAGCCCTACATACATACCTGTTTCAAGGAGCTTACCGTAACAAGATCGCATGCTGTGTTTCCTATTTCAACCAAATACTTCCTTGAAAAAATGAGTAAACTTGTTCGTTCAATATCTCAAAAACTAATTGAAATTAGTCGTATACATGAAAGCACAAAAGATGATGTAAACAAAAGTGTATGTATAATTCCATTTAAACAGCCGAATCAGATCAACACACTTAATGGAAAGCATCGTCCCATTACATCTAGTAATATCTTGCTTGCAAGAATCGTGGATTTAGAACGAAACTACCGGTCAAGCGTATGGGAGAATAAAGAAACGTGTTGATTATTTTAATATTGACCTATAGCACCAGGTACAATGATGACTTGTGTTGTCTTGAAACAAAGTACAAGTCGCTGCGTACCGTTGACCTTTCTCGAACCTTTCTCACAAATGGAATAGAATTGTCCCTAAAGACCACTGTTACGTGGTATCTATTTAAACCGTAACAAACATCGAATATGTATTCGAAGGAGAATAATAACTTCATTGATTCGAATTCTGTAATACCGTTCGTGTCGAGCGATACAAATCCAAATCAGATTTCGCTGTTAGAACTACACAGAAACTTCGCCAAAGCGATTAGAATATCTATTGATACGTACGATAAATGCATACATATGTAAAATGTAGTCTACTCAATATTAATACGAACAAATACATCAGCATCTGACCAAAGTCAATAACAATCAATTTGAAGTAACGATAACATTCCTTCAATATAACCGACACTACATCACTCCATAAAAAGAAAAATTGAACTGTTTCTATATTAAGTACTTTGATAACGCGGTTACTGCATTAGAGCAAGATAACATTCGGAGGAAATAATATACACGATGATAAGATAGAGCGAATGTAATTGTTTACAGTAAATAAACGCATGAGAGTTCAATATCCGAGATCTCAGATGAAGGTGCGCCGCGCTGATGCACACCGTGCGAAAATATGATTGGTGTACTACATGAACGTGTAACATATTACGTGTACCATTGCATCATCTGTGGCATGTGTTCTCAGCAGCATGCAGTGTTAGCAACCGTGAAGCGAAGGTCACGAAGTAGCTGACGTGACAATGACCTTTCCCAACTGTTTCCTTTAAATTGTTCTTTTTTCTCAAACTTTCATTAATCTATTCATCTTGAAGTTGGAATGGAAATATCCAGAGCACATGGTTAAACGGTTGGTGTCAATGTGCAGTTTAACATTTTCAATGGTTCATTAAAAGCATTTCGATTCGCATATAAAGAGAACGTTTATAGTATGGTTACAATACCATTATTCATACATGGGAGTGTTCATTACCAATGCCGTTTGAAGACAGTAACAACTAGGCTCCGATTCATCATTTATGCAATCGTACTGCAAATATGATTCACGTGTCCCCGGTTTATTGTTTGTACATTGCATGTTATTCATTGGTATGATAGCACAATATATCGAATGCCCATGCGAGAGATAATTTGACAACATTCCTCGCATTTAAAGAAAGCAAGAGTAGACTAAAATAAACATTTAGAATCTGAATTAACGAACAATGACACGTGTGTACACATGAATTACATAGAAAGCAATGTTCTTAAGCTTAGAATCAGAGAGATATACTTTAGGTAGGAGGACTGTGTGTTATTTCCTTTACGACATAAAGCACATTAACACTTTATAACATTATTAAATATACAAATACTCATATGTTTTCTCGTACCTTCGAAACCCTTGCCGGATACATTCGGTTAATCTGTATTATGTTAACGAAATGCTAAGGGATCGATTTCAAGACGAAACCGTCGCTCCAAACAAACGATTTGATAATAGCATTGAAGCCGACGCGACGGCCGAAGACTCCCAAGTTCACAACGCGTACGTAAAGTACAAGCACAGTGCTACTATTATCTGGCCTGTCTTTGCCAATATCTTTCATAGGTCTCATAGATCACATACCAGCACGGAACTGCCCTTCGAGATAATCGCGGACGACGGCGGGCATCGCGACAACGCCTCGTCTCGCGCTGATAACGCGGTGGAAATTATCGACCCCGGTTAACCGACGGGGGTTTGTTTTGAACGTGCATCCTCGCGCACGGCCGTCGCCAATAACGACGATAGAGACCAGGCGAATCGAGCCTTGTCAACCGACGGTGGCGACGGCGTCGTCCGACGATTGCTGGACTCGTTGTTACGCGAAATGACCGGAGACGACCGCGTACCGAGGTTACCAGATAACAGGTTGCTGCCGAAACACTTTCTTATCAGGCTGACGTGCGTTTCGTATTATAACGCGACGCGACACCACAACACGAGACGAATCTCCTTGGAGAGCGCGCGCATCGCCCATTGTTTCGACACGGTGGCGGTGATGTGGGTAAAAGCGACCGGATAAATGGCGACTTTCCCCCCCACCGCTTGTCGCGACCGCCGCACGGGTTGTAAATCTCACGCGACATGCCGAAACGCACGCGTTCTAACCATACATGGTACCCGATCAACGTACACACGCGACGTAAATAATTGTCCAACAAAAACCGAACGATGTCCTCAACGAAAAATGTATCCCGGAACACCGAGAATATATCCCCGATATACAAATCTAACTCACCCTGTGGCCGGATTCCTCGAGTCGCTGCCTCTTGGAGTGTGGTCCGTCTCCGTTGAACGCCATCCTGGCTCTCGGCACCGGGCGATTACTTGTTTTTTTAAAGCGAGACACTCGCTGCTACGACAACACGTCCGTGTGTGTTATTACCGCGCGGTTCTCTATACCGTGTCGACGATCTCGTGCGCGGCCGGGGGAGGGGGGAGGAAGGAGAAAATAATCGGTAGGACACGACGCGTAACGCGACGAGAACAGACAAACGCGCGAGAGCGGCTTAAGGGAAACTGGATCTCGATGTCGCTGGAAAGGAACGTCTCTGTCCGTAACGAAGTAGCCGGGGCGACCGCGGCGCTATCTGCTGGCGACGCGGTACGAACATACATACAGGGCGAATCTTTAAGGCGGAACTGCGCGCATGCTCAGATATTACTTCTTCCGAACAAGTGATTGGTTCATCTTATATTCCTCGTGACAGGGTATATTCCAAAAGCGAAATTATCGCCAGTAACGGATCGAAAGAACGAAAGAAGGTATTAGAGTGTTTAGCACGGTTCTAAAAAATCTTGTATAGTAATTATATGAACAAAGAAAAGTGCAGTATTCATTAGTGGGTCAAATGGAAACGCAACGATCCATCGTAGTTTGCATTGCAGTAATTTTGATTCGTGCTCGCGGGAAGCGCAAATCGGGAAGATTTCAAGTATTTACAACGTTCGCTGGGATTGACAGGTAGGATTCGAAGAATAAGATAAAATTGTCAGTCGATTAGTTATTTTTCCTGGACATTAACACTAAATTGCGTGGCGACAGTCTACTGTCGAATACTGGCTTCAAAATTGGTACAAAATTTTTCTCTGATAGAAACAAGAACCTATCGTAAAGAACAATGGTTTCTACCAATGGTGCTAACAGCATTCGTAGCGATCCGAAGACTATAACTTGTTGCCATCGATTTAAGAAATCGGTGATCACTGAGTTATTAATATCTGAATCTTGCGGTTGCAAATCGGTATCAAAATGTAAAGTAGCTGTTTTACAATACCTAAGAAACATAAATATTTTTATATACATTTTTATATTCATTTTATCAAATATTTGAGTTTCATTTATGAAATGTCCATCACTTAACTGTTCAAATGACATTCCTTTTGATACTTTAACATTTCTTAATTGACTATGGCGTAGAATTGTACTTTTCTTTATTAAAATGGTTTCCAAAGCTGCTCTATAAGTATGAACCTATAACACAATTCAGTTAATAATGCATATTTACATATACATTGGCTTATAAAGTTACTCAACTATTAAGTCTTCGTAATTCCCAGTTTTTAGTTTGTCACAATATTTTTCAATGGCATGACATGCTACTTCTAACGATGTGTAAGTTAAGGAATGATTCTTGTGCAAACACAGGTACTTGCTAAGGGGATACCCCTTTAGTTTACTAATCTGTGAGCTGAAAATAAACAATTACATTATTACTCCAATATTAGTATGATATCTCATATCGTAAAAACATATATACATACTTGATTGTTAATTTCATATAACAACAGCCAACGATACAAATAAATTTAGCTTCATTTCTAGAGGAATAAAGCTGTAATAGTATTGGAGCGAGGTCTCCACAAGGATGAAGACCAACAAGACCAAATTCTGTTTCTTCCTCACTTAAATCAAATTCCTTTTGAAATAATTCTTTTAATTGACTAACTAATTCTGATTCGACTAAATTTGAAGATTCTAATTTAGCTGTAAAATGTTGAGGAGATTTTTGATAGAAATTTGGTATACGTCTTTTTATGGACATCAACAATTCTTGATCTAACTTCCTGTAAGAGAATTAATATTAATAAAAAAATAATGAAACCATATAATAACTTGGATACCTAGCTTGTTCCAACAATATACAGTCTTGTTCGATACAAGTAACATTTAATCCATATTGAAAAGCCAAAACTCGGGCTAAGTGACCCATACCAGATCCAATATCAACAATACAGTCACAGTTGGCTTCATAGGCACAGGCTGCACATACCTGAAAATATTAAAAAGAAGATAATACTAACTATGAACTATTGATTATAACTTGGGCAAATTAAAATTAATGTAGTACTTCAGCTATTTTTTGTATCTCATATCTCTTTTTTTGCTTTATATGTTTACAAAATAGATTATTGAACTTGTGATCCGTAGAATACAGTTCATCAAGTACAACGTTTCGCTCATTCTTGAAAGCTTTACTATTGTTCTTATTATTCGCTTTTCTATTATTTGATTCACAAGCTATGATGCTCTTTGGATCTTTGTTATTTCTGTTAACTTGCAAGATATTGATCACTTGACGAAGCGCGAGTAGTGTCAAAGGCCATACGCGTTTGCTGTAAAAAAGATAAAAAATTGCAACTATTGTAAAAGTTTAGAAAGTTCGAACGGCATAGTAAAATTACGTACCACGAGATGTCTCCCGACATCCACTCACCAAATTCTTGGGGAGATGTATCCTGCAAGGCAATCTTCCACGTTTCTGGCAACCTGTCCCATAATTTTTCTTGAAAGAAATCCTGTATTAAAATAAAACGAGAATTCACATTCTATGAGACTTATCGAAGAATTAGCGTATGCCAGGAATAAAGGTACATTCTATGACGTTCGGGCAAATGTCAGGGAAATGGAAGGAAGTGCGGCACAGTAGTTTGACAGAAGTGGCAGGTGCAGGATTTATTTCTTATGTTACGTACCACAACGTAAGAGTTCAATAACCACCCGTATACGTCTAGAACGCAAAATATTTGATCTACCGTGACACGAATTCTCGTACAAACTCTACATGTGCACCGAATGTCTGTAGGTGCGGCCATCTCTGCCATGAAATGGCCGCGAGAATTTGATTGATCATTCCACGTAGCCAGTATCAATAAAACAATGTACGTAAAATTAGACGTTCTATAATACCTTAATTAACTCCAATTTTGTATACCCGTCTTATTCTTAATGGACAATTATGGTCACACCGTATATAGAATCGATACAAAACTTGTTTACTTAAAAACCATCAATTACCGCATTTGCCCACGCTCTTTAACTGCACGCAGTTTCAAAATTTACTTCTACGGCGGAAATAGAAAGTGCATAACGTCGTCTGAAGATACTTTTTGTTTAACGCGGTATACTTTACCTAATTATATAACGACGCAGTTATGAGCATGCACGTGCGAATGATACAGGCAGTGTAACGAGTAAGTTCGTTGAACGGAAAGTTAACGATAAAGGGAAAAATATTAAATTACTAGACGCGAAAAGTACCCGGTCGATCGATTTAGTTTTTTCCATCGGATCAACGTGTGTATCAGCCGAACCGACTCAGGAAATGGACGATCAGATCGAAAGCAATTTTCTCACGGAGGCGCGTGAAATTTTAATACACGTCAGCCAAGGTCTTATGAAACTGACGAATATCTTCCGCCGGTTAAATATAAAAAGGGAAGTAGAGAAAATGGGAACAGTTTGTTTGGTTTATTTATTAATTAAAGGATCGGATGCTATTCTCGCCGTGTCCCACTTTACGCCACTTTCACTCTTCAACGTTACGTTATTACTCGTGAGCACAGTACTCTTCGAGAGATATACGTGTACCTGTATAAACCGTACTGGCAGCCGTAGAAGGAGAACCGTATCATCTGCCACTCCATATCCCTGGACTTTCCTGAGAACTGGGCGACTAACGTCCGTGCAATCCTTTCTTAAGCGCTGTTTCACACAAACTGCTGTTGTAATTATTGCTAAATGCTGTAATAACACTGTCTTTTTACACTTATCTTATTTATTCGCTTCGAGAAAACGAGCTATCTTCTGAGAACAGAAATTAATACTGAAAGATAATTTTCTTAATTCATAAATTTCACTTCATTCGATGGTTTCATTTTATGTTTAATTCTTTTACACAACTGTATGTACATAATTAGAAATTGTTGACCATTCGATTCTTTGCTCATCCTATTCGAATCTTGTGGTTATTTGGACCTCTTACGCCAACGTAAGTGAAAGTTCCCAAGTAGGACGGACGAGAGACGTCGAATCTCGACGGTGCGTGTATATTTGCTAAATACTCATCCCCGTGTTGGTCAACGGTGAACGGTGATCCATTGAAATCGCTAAATGTCACTGCACTTCTTATCTAATTCTAAAACGGAGGAACTTCCAACTGTGAAAAGGAAGCGGTCCCTCTTTGTATTGCCTCTTCAATTAAAGTTCAAATGTAAACCTCGGGGAGATTCGGAGAGGCTATTCGGAATCATTTAAGATCCCTGATTCCTCTCGGATAAATCAATCCGGAGTGTATGTTACGTAAGCATGAGAACTTGCATCATCGAAGCTTTTGCAACTAGGAGTTTTACTAGGTCATCCTCATTTAACTGGTATTCTAGATTTCTGCCTTTCACAGCCACTGAACGATATTTACGGAAAAAGAGCGCACGCGATCTTTTTACGTAGGACAAACTCGTTGGAAAATCTCTAACTATTTCTGTTAAAAAGAGAAAATCCACGTAACCGCAATATAAATAATGTACTGTGACGAATTAATAAAATTAATTAATTTAAAACGATTATGTATAGTTTAATTCAAAGAGAGATGTAATTAAACCATTAATTTTTGCTAATCTCTGCCCTATTAGACAGAGCCACATAATCAAGTTCTGTTGACAATGTGGACGCGACGCAATTGCAAGAGAATAAAACTAATTAGATGTGAAATTAAACAATGGCCGTTAGTGGACAGTAAAAGTGGCTGCGGGAATTTGCTTTTAACTGTGGATGAAAGGTCGTTAGAGACAGACACAGGAAATGATTTGTTCGGAGGAACTCGTTCGCTCGGAACCGCTTCGAGCCTTTAGCGAAAGTAATGATAAATACAGCGAACGTGGATGCACGCGAGAGCGTGTATATATGCTGCAAAGATTCGAGGAGGCAGTCGTCTTTCACCGAATAATTCGGTGTCTACCATGCCAGTCGCGGACACGGCCTTCGACTAGAAGAAAGGTAGGTTTCGGTTTCGATAGGCCTTGGAGGTCGACGGAAAAGTGACGCTCGTTTGATATAATCATCTTCCTTTCCTTTCGATTGAGAGACGGATTTAAAGAAAGTCGACAACCGCTTCGCCCGTTTCCCCTTCCCCGGGCTCCTGTCTCTCTGTGCCTCGAACTTGCCTTTTTTTGTGTGTCGAACCGAACGTCTCCGTATGTTCTACACGCGAATACTCGAAACGCTGCTTTACACTAGCCAACACGTAAAGTGTTGGTAACCGCTGATGCCGGAGAAAGGTGCCCCACCGTATTCAATATTAGAGAGGAGCTTCTTGAAGAGTACGGGTGGTGGTGGTATCAGGTAGGGAGAAACGGACCTCTGAGCCCAATATGTCCTCAGTACTCGTACGAAGCTCCATACAATATCATTCAGTACATACCCGGTCCTACGGATAACATGTTGCCTATCGCGAGTTAGCCGCTCTTGATCGAAGTTAGCACGTGAAGTCGGTGAAGTGCGACTTATCGTCAAGAATAAGGGTCCAACGAGCGACACCGGTCTGAAATACACCATGCTCTCCTTCAAACTGGTAATTGTAAAAAAGAGATCATAAAAATCATACAAGTCGAGAGTATTCACCGGGTGAAACTTCTCTCTCCGAGAATGTCGCATTGATAAGGTAGATGCTTCGGAGCTCATTTAAGAGAACGCGCCTGCTTCTACTTTCATCGTAATAACCGTGTCTTTCATGGTTATATATACATATATAGAAACGTTCGACGCGGTTCTATCATTTGTAATCAGTCAGCGTATCGCCTTCGGCTGTCTTGTAAGGGAAAGTATATCGGATTAGCTTTTATGCATGTTCAGTATCTCCGTTTAGTATCTTCATCCTATCATTATATCAATTTGATATTATCAGAAAAATGGCTATTTAAGATTCAAGCCATAGTAAAACTGAGTCAAGCTTCTTAATTTATTCGGCGCTTGACATAAAAAACAGATTTCATTTCGGCCGCGTATGTCGAAGGCAGGTTTTCTTTTTGTACGAAGAATATTAAAAAGCCCCGCTTTAGGAGAGTCACCGAATTCTCGAGGTGAAACGCGCACGTCGTGAATCTAAAACCTAAATTTTCTCTCCATGGCCATGTGAAGCAACCAACAAGAATTTCTGTTCTATTCGCACAATTTAAACCCGAGAAACATCCTATATCCGACACATGCCGTAACTCGGCCTCGCCATATCGGGAACACGATCGCGGATGGGAATCACTTATCAGGGTACCCAGTAACTGTCCATTCGGCGACGCTAGAATACCAATTGATTGGCCTCTTAATGTCTTCTGCTGAATACTTCTCCTTTATTAATCGGGTTAGTCGGTTATTCAGACGCGACCGTTGTTTCCACAAATGCGTCGCGTGCTCGTACGCAGATAGCCCCAATCGTATCGTACCGTTTCGATGTTCCGATAGCGATTCCACTTTACAGATAGTTTTAGCGGCTGCGATCTTAGCCGCTGCGGCCTCTGCCAAAGATGAGCCCGCGAAAGGCCGCGATAAGAGACAACAGGTTGCTTTCCATCCGAGGAGAGGAGCCAGACCGCCACCTTATGCGGTTCAAATGGAACCGATCGTTCAATATTCCCAGAGAGATCCACTCTACAATCCTCTGGCGAGTTCTAAGAGCGACGATTTCTACGAAGAGGCGCCGTTGAATTACTACCCGACTGAACCGGAACCGATCATTGAAATTATTATCAAAGAATCGAACGAATCATTACCGACGCCTGCCCCACCACCGCCTCCTCCAACACCGAGGCCTACGAAAGAGCCGATACAAGTGTTTTACGTGAAATATGAGAAGAAAAAAGGGTATGGAGAAAAATCCCGAGTCGTCTACGATCCGCCAGTGCCAGCGTTGACGCCTATCGAAGAACACGAAGAGATCAAGTCCGATAACCCGGCACCTTATCCGGAAGAACCTGTCCACACAGCGACACCGGCTCCGGCAGAACCTTCTACGACTTTAAGAGCTATCATTCGACCCGACAGCGAAGTATATCATTCCGGTTCTAGCGGTATTCGCGTCACCTTTGGCACGGAACAGGTGCCGCCGAACAATCACAATAAACGAAGCGATTTAGAAACACCAGCGAACACACAGCAGCAGCAGCCACAGGCCAAGCCGACTTCTACCCCTCCAGGATCCCCCAAAAGACAACACGGCCCGTACCAACCGATACAACCAGTGCATCAGCGATTACCACCGGCATTTCCTCAGCAAAGAATTGCAAACTCTTTCCCGCAGCAGCACCAACAACAACCACCGCCACAACAACAATCCTTAAACTTTTTGCAACAGCCGCAGCCGCAATTTTCACAACCACCGCAAGCACGAAATCCACTGCAAAGACCTCAATCTGTTCGATTGCCTATTACGATTCAAGGTCTACCGGAAGTACAACAACGATCGCCGTTTAATAATTACCCGCCGCATCGTGTCAACATTAACCACCCGCATCAACCAGGATTTCCACCAACCCTGTCAGTTTCTCATCAGAATGTACAGATACAGAATGCAGGTTTGCCGTTGAATCAAGGCAATCCTTTCAGTGTGGAACAGCAACCGCAACAACAACCGTTGCCGCCGTATAAGCAACAGGAATTGGACAAACAAAGATATCACGAGCAACGCCGACAACAGGAGTTGTTGAAACAGCGCGAACACCAGAGACAACACGAGCAACAGAGACTGCAGGAGCATCAACGATATTTGGAACAGCAAAGACAGGTCCAGGAACAACAGAGACATGTCGACCAGCAAAGGCTGGTGGACCAACAAAGATTACAGGATCGTCAACGATTGCAGGATCAACAGAGGATACAAGAGCAACAAAGATTGCAAGAGCAGCAGAGATTGCAAGAGCAACAAAGATTGCAAGAGCAACAAAGATTACAGGACCAGCAACGATTGCAAGAACAACAAAGATTACACGAACAACGAAGGAGGAAGCAAGAACAGGAACAAAAACTGTTGCAGGAACAACAATATCGGTCGCAATTGAAGTATAATCAGGCGTATGTACCGCAAGTACCTGTTCTGCCACAGCTCCAAAAACCAGGAGGAGAAATTTTCAAAGCCGTTCCGAAACTCGAACAACATTATGCGATCCGAGAAAATCCACTTCATCCCGGACCCTTCCCACCTACTCCCGCAATCCAATCGACCGGATTTTCGGAAACATCGCAGAATCAATATGTTTCCGTTCAACCTCCGCATTCTCCACCAGACATCTTAAGAACTCCGCCGAATGAATTTATAAATAATGGACAACATCAAAACACGAAGCAACAAACTATTCAGAGTCAACAACAAGGATTTTTCGCTCATAATTACCAACAGCAGCAGCAGCAGCAGCAGCAGCAGCAGCAGCAGCATCATCAACAACAACAACAACAACAAGCACAGCAGCAACGTTTCCCATCGTCTCCTCAACGGTCCTCAATATGGGGACGACCGTCCTTCTCCTCAAGTTCTTCTCAAAAGATTTACGCAACGCCAGTCAGTCCGTCGGAAGATTTTAATTCGATTTCAACGGTCAGACCATACATTTCCAGCACGGCAATTACTACAACAACCACAACGACAACGACCACCAAGGCTCCTACAACAACCACGGCTTCTCCAAAGAACGAAGAGAAAATTAGAGAGAACATAGCAAATCTACCGGATGAGGTGCCGGACGATATCAGGGAACAGCTTCTCAGTTCCGGTATTTTGGGTAACGCCGACATACAAATATTGGATTACGACAAGGTCGGGGACATACCAATAGAGAAACTACCGCCGGAGGCTTTGGCGAATTTCTACGGCGCCGGAGGCGCTTCCGCGGTGGCTGCCAGCGAACCGGTCCCGTCGATCGTAAAGAAACCCAAAACGGCACAGAGCTCATCGTCTTCCTCGACCTCCTCTTCCTCCACTTCCCCGGCAGTTTCGGCGAAGAAAGCTGCTGTTAGTTCGACTAAGTTCGAGCAAGCCACCTTGCGGCCTGGTGGAGTGGAGATGAAAGTAGTACGCTTCGATCCGAATACGGAGCAAGGCCAAGCGATCGCGGATCATCACATACGCGACGATGCCACCAGGCTGAATCCCGTGACCGTGGGAGCGAAAGACGAGTCCCAATACAATCGTTATCTGCCGCTCAAAGTGAGCGGAGCTTCCTTTCCGATCCCGGACGTACCGCAGCTGAACGGTCGAAAAATATCCAGCGTGGTCGTATTGGCGCCTGTTGATTATAACTTTCAAGAGGAGAAGGAGATCGAGTCCAGACAGGGCAGGAGGGTCAGCGATGTCCAAGCGGTCAAGTTTCTCGCAGGCGACACTCTTAAGCAACTTGTGAAAAAGCCAACCGTGGAGAACTACAAGAAGTGGTTGGAACAAGAGAGCCGTACGGAGCCGCAGAAACAGTCGGTGGTACTGCTCGTAACCATGTAAGTGGTAAACGCGATGCCATAACTAATCACGCTTGCCTACCTGTTTGCCTTCGTTAACTCCATCCGCTCGATTTAAACTGGCAATTAATCTCTAACGAGCAATATTCTCCTTCATCTACTACGAATGCTTTTTATCAACCTGCTTCCGTAAACGTCTCATTCGCAATAACGATCTTCGAGCTTCACTTTCTTTTAATAATGCTCGATACGATGTTACAGACCAAAAGATGCGAAACAAGGTGAGAAAGAGATCTTCATGTACGACGTGGCCTCGCAAACCGTAAACAAACTAGCTGGGGATTTATCCACAGCGTTCGTAGACGCTGCCGAAAGTAACTCCGACAATACCGATTCTTTTAACGAAACAAGTTCCCCATCGTTTTAATTAATTACGATGACGTAACCGCAGTTGGAATCTAATGCATTGAAGACGAAACAAGGTCTAGTGTGCCAAGGTCCAAGAATAACACATAAAACGTTCTGTGGTCTTGTACGTTATCCTAAAATTGTAACGAAACCAGAACAACAAAGGTAAAGGACATAAAAAAATACAAGTTTTCTTGTAGATAATTTTAATTATGTATTATTATGTATATATTGATTTTATACTTTTTATACAAAATAAATTCAATATTTTTTTACATCTAAACGATTCGTCTTCATACCTCACACTAACTTTATAAAATCTGAAAACGGACAGATTGTAAGTAGACATCGCAAATTCATGTCTCATATAAAAATCTCATAAAATATTTGAGGAACCTACATCTTAAATATATTGAATCTCATTAATGTATAACATTTCTTGATGTAGATGTGTAAAACATAAAAAATTTATACAATAATTATTTTCTTAGCTAAATGTACACATAAAATTTAAGGACTCCTTACATAATGTGGATATCAATCTCTTATTGTACGGTATACTTCATATACTATCACTCAGTATGAAATTTGTACAATGAACGGTGAAAACTGAATCATACTTCCGTGTCATTAAATAAATACATTATTGGCGGTAACAGATATAAAACTATCGCGGCGTAACCACCGTATAATACTCTATAGATATTTTCATCTCTCAGATCTTAAACAACAAATCCAATTATTAGCTATGACTAAATTAAAATTGAAAAAGAAACATTTCTGCCACAGCTCGTTTCGCATAAATTTCAGATATTACAAACCTAAATATGTACATATATTAATATGGCAGTTTAAAGCTATGGAACTTCGCACTCATTCTCATTCACGATACAGTCTCATTAACCACTTAATAATCCTTCTCGTCGTTAACAAAAACTTCACGACCCATTTACTCTTACAGCATCGGTATTAACATTCGTGTACGTAACTATATTGTTACTATCGTCAACGACCGGAGTTTGCCGTAATAAATTCAACAACGCACTGTTTATCACCAAAGGTATGTTAGCTTTACCGTTCTGCAGGTTCGAGTGTGTCCTTTGAATCTTCGGCAACGTGTTTTTCGTAACATTATTGTCGGTCGGTTCCCCGGTCCTCCCAATAACGCCGTTCTTCAACGGCAAAACGTTATGAGAGCTAATTAAGGACGAACTAGGTCGAGTCGATGGAGCTAAACTAACGTTTGAGCTGAACGAACTAGAACTTCTTCCTTCTAAACTTACTTCTGATCCTCGCCGTTCAGCCGCGTTCCTTTTGTTTCTTCGTTGATCAGTTAACGACGTGAAAGAGTCTCTCTTCAGAATCGTTTTAATCGCGGGATTAGTCAACTTAGAACTATCTAACGTGTTGAATTTTTCAGTTACACTCGTGATCGATGCTCTTTTACGTTCTGGCAAATTCAAACTGGACGTTGAAGATCTTTTCTCACATTTTTTGTCTTCTTTAACGTCACCGGGAGTGTCCTTCTGTTCTTGTACCGTGTCGGGATGCGCATTGTTCTTCGCATCTACGTTTCCATTGGCTTTATTTATGTTCACCAGATTCTGATCGGAGATGTGAACTGACCGTGGCACTTCGTACCCGTTTGTCGAATTTTCCCTCGGAATGATATCCTCATTATCCGCTAATAATTCTAAATATTTCGGTATTTCGCTCGATTGCGATGTAACAGCGCTATGAGAATTTTGAAGGAACGGTTGCATATCTCGACTGCCTTCCGAGCTACTAGATTTCCATGAATTTCCTGTGAAAATCAAAATACTGCTTACGAAAATAGGATAAATGTAAAATTTCGTAGTAAAACGGATCACTGAATTAGTATTCAATTCATTTTTTTCTTCGTTGCTCCGTGAAGAACTCTCAGTAAATTCAGTTAAAACGTTTTAGAGATATTTTTATTAAAAATGATCCACTTTACTTTCATCTATCGCATACATTCAAATTTTAGTTTAACTCTATTATTATATGATTTAGAATGTGGAAAAAGAAATACAGAGAAAGCAGCATAGATGATCCTTACGTAGAAAACCTACCTGAATTATTATGATTTTGATTCTCGTCAGCAAAGTAAGCCATGTTAGACACGCCTGCAAGCATGAGCCATGCAATGGTAAATAATGTAAGGCAAATTGTTAAATTAATATATTGAACAATTTCATGACGGTGCATTTTCTCGGATTGAACTGGATTATCGCGTTCGAAACGGACATTTGTTTGTCTTCCGATATGTAAGAACAAATTATGTAAGAAAACAGATATTTCTTATGATCATGATAATTCTATTTAGATGATAAAGCAGTTATAGCATAATAGTTTAGAAGTTGAATTAGAAACTCGATTGTGTGTACGTATAATTACGTTATAATTAATTAATACATATAAGTAACAGAATGAGTTTTAGTCATACGTTCACTTCGTTAGTCAAGATATAATTGCTCAATTGATAGTGAATGTATACGAAAAAATGTAGACTTTCGTTTCATGCCAAAGACTTATGTAATGCAGAGATCGATATACAATTCGAACATACCCCTTCTGGCCAAATAATGCCCAGCATGAATAGGACTTAACGTTGTGTCTTCTATCGTGCCCCGGAGACTGACTATGCTTTCCAAACAAACTTTGAAACTCGGTCTGGCATCAGCAGCACTCCAGCAACGCAGCATCAGTTGATGCAAACCGGGTGGACAGTTCAAAGGTTTCGGTAACCGTCCACCCGCCCGCACATGATGCAATACTTCGATATTCGTTCTAGCGGGATACGGTTGCTGTCCCAAAGACGTGATTTCCCATATTAGTACACCGAACGCCCAAACGTCGCTCTGCGAGGTAAATACGCCATCCACCAAGGATTCAGGTGCCATCCATCGTACGGGAAGCAATCCTTCTCCTTCCTACAGTAAGAATAAAATTGAGTCACATTTTATGATACGATTTCATCCCAATCGTTAAACTGGAATTCTACTTACTTTTCGATAATAATCGTTTTTGTATATATCTCTGGCTAATCCAAAGTCGCCGATCTTAACGACACGGTTCTCGCGATCTCTGGCAGATACCAAACAGTTCCTACATGCGAGATCTCTATGTACAAAATGTAACTCCTCCAAGTAACGACATCCTCGTGCTACGTCCTCGCACATAGCGAGTAAATCTTGTAGACGCAAAGCGTGCGGATCTGTAGGTTGCAATGATCGACTCGCTCTCAAATAACTCAATAAATCTCCGGCCTCCATCAGTTCCAGCACCAACAACGGTGGATCGGTGTCCAAGCAAACACCCAGGAGTCTGAGCACGTGTTTATGTCGAAAATGGCTCATGAGTCTAGCTTCTTGAAGAAATTCTGTTTTTTCCTGAGCCGAAGCTCCCTTCCGTAGCGTTTTGATCGCAACCGGTGTGATTCCTGGCCTCTCCAAGTCTTTCGCGTTCCCTTGAAATACCTGAAAGATTTTCACGTTTATTATGACTAAATTTTGAATTTATTTATTTATAGAAAAATAGAGTGAGCAGAGAATATAAAGAAATTTACATATCGCAATACTTGAATGATGACAATTTTCTCTAATCTAAATTACATTTGTTAAGTTCATATCATGAAAATTTTATTTTGCATAGAAACCTGCAGTGTAATTTAAATTTGTACAAGACTTTAATTTGTGTCACTTACCTCTCCGAAGGCGCCGCTGCCTAAGAACTTCGCCAACGTTATTTGTTCCCTTCTAATTTTAGGAAGCGTGGAATCATCGGGGTCGTTGTGTAATGTAGACGCATATAAGGCGTTCGATTGAACAAAATTGCCGCGCGGTATTTCTCGAAGAGTAGCTAACTCGACGTCGCTCATCAACGGAGGTAACACCGTTTTTTTGTCCTCTTTGCGTTGCCGGTACACTGCTGAATAACAAAACTTCCGTTTTATACTTCTGTCACCTCCGTAAACATAATCGTTTAAACACTAATTCTTTTCAACGTTACCGACTCACAAAGATAAACGAGAAGTTGTACCATTTTCTTCTAAATTATATGACTTAATTCATCAGAGCTGATAACGTTTCATTTTTAATCACTATACACTTACGGCAAAGGAAGTAACAGAAGCAGATGAGCACGATTGTGATAACGGGAACGATAAGTCCGAGTACCAAGCCGAGATGTTGCTGCGCGGCTAATATTCCGCCGGTAGCTTCTGTTAGATCAATGACAGGACTGGATCTGCTCCAAGCGCCAAATCCGTATGCGTTTCGCGCTTGAACGCGAAACCGGTACTTGTCGTCCATGTCTCCAGTGATTATCCAATAGTTGTCCGTACCGTTGTAGTACAACTTCCAGCTCGCGTTCTCGGTAATGTCTATCTGCTCGTTAATTTCGTTAATCTTCACTCCTTCAACACGGTACAACGTGATCTGCGAGCCGTGAGCTTGCGCGGGCTCCCAGTTCAGTTGATAAACTGAATTGCGCAATTTAGTTACAGTAGGCATTCCTGGAGCACTGGGAACATCGCCTACAAGATCAAATTAATTAAAATTGTATATATAATCTAGAAAATAAATGGATTAATTTAGCCGTGTATGTGAGATTAAGTACCAAGCGTTTGAAACGTGAATCTTCCATCCGGCGGCCACACGAAATCCTTCTTATAATTCGGGTATCTCAGGAGCAAGCGAAATTTGTACAAAGTTCGCGGTTGTAATTTCTTAATGAAGTACGTCACCTTCTCTTTATCTACTATAAAATCATTCGCCACTTGCCAATCCTCCACGGCGACGTCCTTATATTCTAACGTGTAACCGGCTGTCAAATTGATCGTTGGTATCCAGGATACATTCATACTGTTCACGGTAACGCCGGTTAATGTCAGATTATTCGGTTCCGGATACATCTTCACCACTTGACCCAAACTCTCGCTGTAAACGTCGTTCACGTGATCAGGATAAGCGCGAACGAACACCAAGTATTCCTGATTAGGTAACCATGGATCCAACATGGTGAAAAATCTCCCATCCGCCGTGCGATCGGTACCCTTTATAAACTGTTCTCCCTTCTGCCGTGCTCCATTTATCAGAGGAACCAATCTCCAATGTACTTCGTACCGTACTGACGCTGCGTTCAATATTTTCGGTGGCATCCAGTAAACGATAGCCAAAGTTGGCGTCAACGCGTTTACAGTTACGTTCTCCGGAGCCGTAGGGGCACCAGCTTCGGTTCTCAACACAACACCAGAGCCAAATTCTAAGCTCATCGACTCTAAGTCGGCGTAATAATTACTCAACGCCAATTTCAATCTGTATTTCGTGAACGGTTTCAAATCCTTTATCTCGTACTCCTTTTTGTAAGTTTGAAACTTTGTCCTATCGCTGTCCTCGCACATATTAGGATCGTTCTCTAAACACTGCGATACGTATATGGTGTACAGTGTCGTGGGCAAGCTGTATGCTTCGCAATTGAATTGAGGAACAGGTTGAGGAAGACTGACAGTAATACTGTTCGCTGTTTTTTTAATTTCTTCGACATTGTAGGACACTTGATGAGGTATCAGACAGTTTGCGATCGGATAAGTTTGCAAGGACTTGCCAAGGGCCTTGATGCTTCTCGCTGATGGTAAATAAAAGTGTTTGATCTCACCATCGTCAGGATCCTTTTTATTAATGAAGTAAATCTGTTCTTCCGCCATGTTCGACCAATAGATGTTCATCTTGTCGACTGTCAACGAGGTTGGTGGCAATCCTTTATTGAAACCCGTATTCAGTATCAAGCTGCACATGCAGCCATCAATGTCAGCGATATTCAAGTGGCCTTCCATAGAGATCCAATACATCACAGGTTTTTGATAGTTGGTGCTGTCGATTGTCATAACAGGAATCACGGACGGTCTGTACGGGCAGCAGCAATCATTTATGGGATTAAAAAATGGTTGAATAGATTTTCCGTCTAAATCCGATTGCATTATAACACCGGCATCTTTCTTAGTTAGCTCTATCCAGTATAAAGATCTATAACAAAGTCAATTAGATGATTTTATCGATAGATTTCAACTAGATATTTTTAAAATATAAATTAATTAATTACACATACCCTGTGGACGGCAATATATCCAAATTCACGATGCGTCTACTAGTTGTTACGATGGTTTCATACTTCAGAATTCCGGCCTGCCACATGGTCAGATCTAACTTCATTATACGACCACTGTTCTCCCGATAAATCGACTCAGACCAGTATAAATGCCTCGCGACCCAGTCGACAGTTATGCTAAGCGCGCTGTTGTTCAATTTTAATATTTTCGTGGCGTTCGCACCGTTCAAATCCGACGTCACCAATTCCTGCATCTCATTGATCCAATAAATTCTATTTTCCGCGGCCAGATGCGCCACTTCGATCGCAATGTGCCGAGTAATCGTATAGTTCACTTTCTGGTCCAAATCGGATATTTTAACCGCGTCCATTGTGGCCACCAACAATTGCGGTACCGGATTTTCGTATATCGTTGAAACATTGATCACGTCGGTGTACGGCCCGGCCCCGATTTCCGTGTGTGCACGAACTTGAAAGTAGTAAGTCGTATTTGGCAGGAGATCTTGAACGGTATGCTCCAACAGCGTGGACGGAATAAGCGATTGATCGCAGATCTGCATCTCTACGTTGTTGTGTTTGAACCAGCATTGAACCGTGTATCCGGTGATCAGACCATTTGTGAACTCGGGTTGGTCCCACCTGGAATAATATCAACGATTACAAATTAATATGAAGTACCATTATCCTTTATATGAAACATTGTATTAAATATCGTACTGAGCATTACAATTATTATACAAAACATTGTGTTAATTTATATTACAATCAAATTGGTCGGCAATATATGGTGGAAATGGGTAAATAGATTAACTTTCATCTGTAGTAAATTCCCTTGCACGTTTACCTAAATATCGCGAATATATCCATATTCTCGCTGAGAGGTTCCTTATGGAACTCTATGAACGCCCTGGGATTCGTTGGCTGGCTCGGAACGCTCTGCGGCGATCTTAGTATTTTTCTAGTATGATGAGCCGTCTCCCAATATGTGAACGCTTTGACAGTCACCTCCAAAACGGAGTAAGGCAAAATCTGTTCCGAATTATTGTAAGGCATCGACGTTTCCGTAGTTATCTCCGGATTCGAGTTGGTGTTGATGTAATCCGCGAACTTCACTTCGTAGAAGACAGTTCCGTAATTTATATTATCTACGGGGTCCCAGGATATGTTGAAGTTCCTCCAGGTCCCTTTCACCCTGATGCTGTTGTAGTTCACTGCGTTTGGTAACACTACCACAGTATCCGACGTAAGATTATTCGGGTATTGATGGAGCGCCGGATCCATGACAGCCACCATGTGAAGCCCAGACAAAGTAATACCATTTATTACGGCCGTGTTTTGGCCAGACAGATCACCTATCACCGCGTTCCGATCATCCTGAAGCCACAGCAAGTGCTCCGAAAAATAGCAGAGGGGACCTTGCATGTTCGGATGTTGTAAAGCTGAAACCTAAAAAGATAAAATAATGTATACCACCGTGTATAATAAAAGGAAGATTATTTTTTTTATTCGTATCGATAGAAACCTTTTGAGGTATGATTTTTTGGTTCATTGGAATTTTCTCGGACGTTGGAGCACGATATACGATGGAGCCGCTTTCGTAACTTCGAACGATCCAATAAATATATCTGTTTTCCGTGTCCAAAGTCAATCCCATCACTTGTTTTCCGTTAAAAATTTCATCCGAGTGATAGTATCTCCTATCCTGACCGTTCAAACGAGCCACCTCGACAGCGTGTCCCGTGGACCAATAAAGATACGCTTCCAAAGAGTCGATCATTAATTCCTTAACAATAGCCAAAATCGATATCGGTTCTTGATGAGATCCATTTAAATTTGCTCTCGTTATCTAAACATGAAAGAAATGGAAAAAATCGTCAGTAGCAATAATTAAAAACTCTTCAAGATAATAATATAATCTCTTTATTTACAATTTGCTGTTTTGGATTAGCCCAATACAATTTTTTTGATATCCAGTCGACGGCCACGCTGCCAACGGAATGAATATTCATTTCAAACTTTTGGTGGTTCGTGATATTGTACCGATACAACGCAGAATTGTTTCCCACAATGTAGAGAACGTCCTTATACCAGCTGACATCGACAATATGATAATCAGACTCTACTTCCTTTAAGCTGGCTTTATATATCAACGTATCGATATTCTCCCCGGTCACGTCGCTTCTTAGAAGACCTTCGTTGGCGGACCACAAGATAGATGCGTGTGATCCATCCCTGCACATTTTTTAAATAATTTTTTAAGAAACTCTACACCACCCCTTTTTAAATGCAATAATGGAGCAATAATCTACCTCAATGTTCGACCTCTGAACTCGGTGGACCAGGGCCCTCTGCCAGCGCTGGTGTAAGCCGCTGCTTTGATCGAGTACTCCGATTTCTCCCTTAGATTGTGCACAGTGTGAGACGAGCCAGCGATATCTTTCTGATGAATCGTCTCGCCGGTGGACTCATCTTTAATCTCCAATTCGTAAGACCAATTCTGCCAGGCGCCTTTGCCCTGTCCGCCCAACAAATGCGGCGCCTGCCAAGAAACTTTGGCCCTTTCAACCCCGAGAACGGCTTGCACACCAGTAGGAGGATTCACTGGTACGGGGACCGGCTGGCTCGCGTCCATCAGCACGTTGACACTGACAAATGAACCGTTCGACCTGAAGAGGATGCATTCATTGAAAATCTGTATCGGTGTCCACGTTGTTCGAATAATAACGAATATTTTTACCTATCAGGGTACGCATTGTGAAAGTATCTGTTCTGGCCTGAGTGATACCCTTCTATCAATACTTCCTCTCCGTTCGTCCAGTAAAATAAACCATTCGCCATGGCTAAGGATATCACGTTTTTGAATTTCGGCTGTTGCGTGTTCGCGCGCATGTCTATGACTTCGCGACCATCCAAAGAAACTGATATCACGGTGTTTTGAATGTGATGGGGTACCAGCAAGCGAAAATTCGTGTGATCCACCGTGAATGCTCCCAAGTGAGCGTCTTCTAAGATTAGGTACGGCTGAACCTGAATTAAAAGTCATTTTAAAATAATGTATATTATTGTAAAATAATAAGAACGTATTGTATGAAACGAACCTCGTGTTTTACCCCATTGCTTATGTCAGCTAAATCCAATCGGTACAAACCACCTCTGGTGACCCAAAATAAGTAACCATTATATGGATCGACTTCGATGTGCGTGGGTCGCGTTAGGAAACCGGCGACGGCCACCGTCAACCCTCTGCCGTCGAGATTGCATCTAGCTATCTGCCAGACGGTAGTCGCGTGCTTCACTTCGCCCAGAATGTACAGATGTAGGTTCAGCCAATCGACCGACAAACTAAGCGGTTTAAAGTTTGCCTGACTGGGGCTAAGAATCACTGTAGGCTTTGTACGTTTCGTTATGGATGTTCTGTACACGTATCCCAACGAATCGGAGATGAACAACTGGGCGGAAGCCACGTGAATCGCGACACCGCGAATCACGCTTGTATTTTCGTATACCACACTCGGGTCGTCCAACATATCCGCGTCTTGCTTCATGACCACATGTTGACCGCCGAGAATCAGAATTGGCTGCTGCGTATCTTTCACTAAAATATAAATTTTTTTCGATTAACAATTGTTTCGAATTTATTAACATGTATTATAATTATTCTGTTGATTTTATGTATTTACAGAAAGTGCACATAATGTCTAAGGGTATGCAAAAGATTAAAACTAAAACGCATATTATTATTTTGAAAATATATAACTATTCAAATTTCGTTTTTCATCATGATTATAAATGCTTCTTTTTGCATAAAATTCTGTAATTTAATAATAATGGTAATGAGATGTACCAGCTGGTTCCGGAGTCGTCATCACGTAAGTTACGGCAAGGGGACCCTCGCCTACTCCGTTCCTCATTGTCACGCTTATCGAATAATTCTTGTTCGGCTCGAGGTTTTGGAACATGTAGTGATCCGTGTTCTCCGATGCTGGGATATCCTGAGTGATTATAAAACGAGTTAAACTTACTGTTAAAGTATTTACCCTTTCGATTCCTCCCTAGTTAAGAAAGAAGAGATACGCAAGTAGGGCAAGAAACGCCATGCCAGAAACGTGTGTCATGTACATTTATTCTGGTTCTCACAAGTTAACAAGCTCACGTTAATGGGATCAAAATTAAACTGTTTAATTAGCATAAATTATTTGAAGCAACAAATACTGCTTTTTAAGCAGCGAAGTATTAGTATGCAGATGTGAAACGAACTTTTCGAAGAATTATAGCGAGAGAAAGCGTGCATTTAAACGAAACGTGCATCATCCCGTTGTTTTACCTAATCAATCAACATTATTTCTGGGAAAGGGTGGAGAATCTTGTAGAACCAGTTACTACTTCGCAGTGCTGTTCGCTACAACAGTGAGAAAGAATAAGAGTAGGCAAATCGGCTGCGGCAATGTAACAATATAATTAAAAGAAATTGAAAAATGTTTATATAGCATGTACAACAAGAACACTAGAGTGTGTTTGCATAAAAATAATGCGTTTCAGGAAAGTGCAAAATGTATGTACATAAAGTAAGTGCAATAACTAGAAAGAGAAAGATTAATCAAACGTCGAGGGATATCGTTGTCATTAAATCGGAAGTTCTGGCGTGGCGTATACCTTAAGCTGGGAGTGATCAGTCCCTTGCAGACGCAGGACATAAGACAAAAGTGGCCCGTTCGGGAATGGTCCCGGTTCCCAAGACACAGAGACACGGCAACTGTCTACCGCGACTGCTCTTACAATTACCGGTGCTGAGGTTGGTAAACCGGCCGCCAATGTTCGTATCACGACGCTCGGAGCGGAGACGATCGGCTCCGAATTGTGCTGAGGCGATTTTAAGAGCAACGCTACACGAAACTGCAATCGAGTCATTTCAAGTTTACGTTAGAAAAATGATAACGATTCGAAGTGGTTTCCCACCTAAAACAATTTTAACGTTGCAAAAGAAGTTGTACATTTAACAAGCACGTAACAGAGTTTTTATTCGGATAACTGTGTATAGAGAAATCCTTCTTTTATTTACATAACATAAAATTCTTTTATAAAATAATTACTGGCATCCTATAGGGAACAATGAATTGTTTTAGACGGGACTGTTCGAGGTTGAAATAAACTTACTCTGTACTTCGTGTAAGGTTGTAAATTTTCAACCAAGATCTGGTCATCCGCACCCCAAGATTGATTCCTACAGTATTGCCAGGTCTCGGCCAGTTCCTCGTACCTCCATTGCACTAAGTACGATATGTCTCCTCCGCGTCTTTCGGTATCTATTCCTTTCCACTCGAGGCGAAGCGAAGTCGCAGTCAACGAGTCCGCGACCAACGCTGGCGCTGGCGGTACACCTATTTCCGCTAATGATCGACATGAACAAATATCATTAAGGGAATTTGATAATGAATTCGACAAAAGTCGATCGCGTGACATTTTTTCCGCTCGCGAACTTCAGTTGGCATTAACCGCATTTTTCATGGTAAGACGATCCCATATAATGATTTTCGTTAAATAACAAAGAATTTTCTCTACAGCATCGGCATCATCGAGTAGGCAGGCACAGAATGGACGTTGAACGTCAAAGAGCCTTCGCCGAGTACAGGAAGATACTCGACGAGTTGAGGTCAACGTTCCTCGAACGATGGAAGGTTAATAAGATCGACAACGTCACTGCGAAGGATTTCGAACGATTTCGGACAATAGGGACCGGTGCGTTCGGACGAGTGATACTTGTCAGGTACAAACCGACGTCCATCCCCTACGCAATGAAGGTACTCGAGAAGTCGAAAGTCGTGAAAATGAAGCAAGTGGAGCATACGTACAACGAGAAAAGGATACTGCAGTGCGTGCGATTCCCTTTCGTCGTCTACATGGAGTTTTGTTTCAAGGACAATTCGTACGTGTATATGGTGTTACCGTACATCAACGGCGGCGAGATGTTCACGCATCTCCGGCGGATGGGAAAGTTCGACGAGGGCCTGGCGCTGTTCTACGCCGCCCAGGTGGCCCTCGCCTTGGAGTACCTACATCACTGCAACCTCGTTTACAGAGATCTGAAGCCGGAGAACATTCTGATCCAGCACACAGGCTACATCCGAGTGACGGACTTTGGGTTCTGTAAAATGATCGACGGGAGAACGTGGACCTTGTGCGGTACGCCGGAGTACCTAGCGCCGGAGGTGATCCTATCGAAGGGCTACGGAAAAGCCGTCGATTGGTGGAGCTTCGGCGTTTTAATTTATGAGATGAACGCCGGGTATCCGCCGTTCTACTCGCGGGACCCGATGAGGATTTACGAGAAGATCGTCGCTGGTAAATACAAATTCGCCCATCATTTCGGCGAGGAGCTGAGAGATATATTGAAGAACATACTGCAAGTGGACCTTACTAGGCGGTACGGGAACTTGAAGAACGGCATTATGGACATCAAAGGGCACAAGTGGTTCCAAACGACCGATTGGAATCAGATTTATCATCAAAAGATACAACCGAGCTTTATACCAAAGTGCGCGTCGCCGGAGGATACCAGCAATTTTGATCATTACGACGAGGAGCATCTTAGAGTAGACGCGGTCGATCGTTACGCGAAAGAATTCGCAAACTTCTAGTCGAGCTGATTACGGTCATCGAACGGTGAACCAAAGCTTCAGAGATATGCTAATGGCCACAAGCGTACAGAACATGAGCGAACGTTCGCCTTTTTAAGTACAGCGCATATCTTACCTTTCAATTGCTGGAAGTAACGATTCAGCGCGTCGTGACAACCTAGAACACAGTACAGTTCCTTGGGCAGCAGCAATTCTTGTGTTCCATTCTAAAAAAAATGCGATCCAACGTTAGGATGCAATGGGCATCGTGTTCAGTGAATCAATTAAAAGGAGAACACGTTACTGTTTAATGCAATTAGGAGTATATAGGGTAATTATAATATACTGTTTTAATGTACTAACGCAGACTGCCTGGCAGCTCGTGTCGAGTGCTCGTTGCCATGCTCCGCAGCCTTTTGTGCACTGAAACATACGCAAGAACGACACGCGTGAGATTACGTTGCGATATCTCCTATGTGTATTCGTTTCTAGTCTTTAGCGTAGCTAAACAAGTTTGTAACATTATAATTTAGCAATTTGTAGAACGTTTAACATTACGAACAGTATTTTATACAATACAGCTCATTTAGCATTAGTGTTTGAAATTTCATTTCATTTCTAACACTATCACGTTTTTAATAATCATCATCATACGCTCGAATCGAGAGGATTCATCGTAATAAACGAGAGCACGCTGTATCGTTTTGGCATTGAAGTAAGTGGAATCGTCTGTGAGACGAAACCGTATTCGAAAGATGGACGAGAATACGTAAGTACGAGGCACGTGCCTCAAGTAACGCCTACGTTCATAAGTCGAACGGTCCGGTCAGTTCGTGCCGAGCATGGATTTGCGAACCGAAGTTTAACGCATTAACTTTCTGCACGAGAGGATGTGGGCATTTGTCGGCGACAACAAGCCAGTAGAATAAGAAGAAGATGAGGAAAAAGGCGAACGATGCGCGTATGTGAGTGTGCGCGTTTGTTTGTCTGTAATGGAAATTGCGATTATTCCCAATTATATGTATATCGAACACTTCTTTCACCGAGGGCGCCTGATAACGTTCTCTCGCGTCTAATCTATTTTCGATAAACGTGCCGGAAGATCAGTAATGTTATCGTTTAGAAAATTACACTGTGACTTTGACTTGGTTATTAACCCGTCCCATCTTTAGTTATACATAGCGTATCTTTACTTATAGCGCATTAATTATGTAACTCAATTGTAGATCTAAATGTAATCTCCCTGTTGCGTTTCGGAATATTATTTATTTATTTATTTATTTATTTAAGAACATTGAAGATCGTCATCGTCTATTCTTAAAATAAATAAAAATTCGGTAGTCGAGCAACCAGAAAGTTGTATCGCAAATAGATCTTTTCCTTCGTGGAGAAGAATCATCTTGAGACGGAAGCATGCTTAGTAAAATATAAATATACAGAAGTGGGTTTAGTACGCTCGATGACTTGAAGCACTTCAGGAAGCGCAAGTTTCTAATACATACATATGTATGTATATGTAGTTCCGTCTAGACTGGAATCTTTCGCTCGTCGTCTCTGGTTAATACGCTAAGCTAAAAATCTTAACATCAGTTCACTATACATATCTTGTAGAATGATGATTTTGTGAAAAGAAAAGAGTTACAGATGAAATTGTACAATACGATTTAATTGAATGTTTTAATTCTCGATTTTTCATAGTCAAACTAAATGATATTAAAATCTAAATTCTTAGGTAAACCTCTAAATTCAGGATTTAGAATAAAAAAGACCTTTATGCAAAGTCCTAAATCGGTTTATTTTAACACTGTGACAAATGGCTGATACGAAAAATGAGGGTTTTAGTTTCACTTTTTCTTCTAAAACCGGAA